AATGACGGGCGCGCATATACACGCTTGTACGTCTACCTGAAGCACCACCGATCCTCTTCATGTCATCGCGACGACGAGCGGACTCCGCGCACGCGGGTCATTGACCTCAGCCGGGGAGCGATCGAGGATTGAGATTAGACTTGGCGACTGTATTCCGGATTTTTGAGACGGAGACTCGCCCACCCTCGTCCTCCCTTTTGCATTCCACAGAGCGGATTTCGCAACATTGTCCGAAAAATGTCGGAGGACCGCCAGTGAATGAAAATTAGAAGCGTGTCGACGCTTGTTAACGCGGCACTAATTGGAATGTCGAGACACAATAAGGAATCAATAGAGACTTATAAAATATATATATACACACACACATTGTTACAGAACAAATCTTTCATGAATTCGACACAATAATCCCGGTTTATACATAGTAGTTTGGTACATTTTTTTTACTCAATTCCCAATCTCTAAAGTGCTTGCTACTATTTCGAGAATAGCGATCGTTGCTGGACACCCTGTATGCTATGCGCAAACGAGCAGCCGCGGGCTACAGAGTGCCGAAGCGAGCGTGTGGCTTTTTGCCAAAGGAGCTTCGCAGATTGCACACCTGTGCGTGATTGAGCCGAGGAAAGACCTCACCCATCGAGCAACTGGTCTCCATTGACTTTTTCTTCCCCTCGCGCACCCCCCCCCCTCGGCACGCTTTCGTGCTCTTTCTCTCTCCTTTTCTCTTTCCGTGCTTTTGTCCACCTCGCCATGCCACCCTCTATGTACTTTACTTTTCTTTATATGCGCATACGCGTAAGGTGCATACGTCATGCGTCATCATCAAATCTGGAATGACATCTATAAAAGGGACGAACTTGTCTAGAATATCAATTTGTGATACCGAGAATGCAATATCTTATCTTGACTCCTTAATTAGATTATTACTTAAAAGTCGAACGATTATATATAATCGTCCATGATACTTTTAAATTTTGTCTTTATTGTCAGTCTAAACATATTAACAAAATATCGTTTCGGAACAACAAATTTAGTTCGATTACGCTCATAAAAGTCAATATTTGACAAGACAAGAGAAATTTGGGAAATAATTATTAACGAGGCGAAGATTTGTTAATGATATCAGAATTTAATTTTCATTATTATTTTATTCGTCAAAGGAATATGATTTTCATTTTATCATTTTGGTTTTGATTACGCCTCGCATAAACCATGCGGTATTGGGGAATAGTTATCATCTTATTCGCGTGCGGATTATATGTATAATCTCTGTATGGGGAATGGACTATTACGATTTGCACTGACCCGATCTGTGTTACGCCCACAGGCCGTTTTAAATATAGCGACGATTTTTCGCGGAAAATGCAATCGAGAATCGAGACGTTGCTATCTTGACGCGATGCAATGATTCCGCAAGCTTTTTGTGAATTACATTTATACGTTTTATCGCAATTAATTGCAATCCTCTCGGTCCTTTTTGAGAAAACCGAGAATAATGTTCTTTACAATGTTCTGTATATATTTAAATAATAATATTAGTTAATTCATAAACGTAATCAGTTACCGAGTGTTAAATAACTTATACATAAAGATTACAAAATTAGATGGAAAATTATTAAAAATTTTAAAATAAGTTTGAAATTTGGTTTTTCATCGAAATGACGAACTTTTGGCGAAATTTCTGAAGAACGAACTTTCGCCGAATATTCCGAAGAACGTCGTTGTTTCTCGAACACATTTGTTAAGTACACTCTACTTTATTTTATTAACCGCAAACCGATTCTCTGCTCTGTAAATTATGGCGAACAACGCGTTGCAACGCGTTATCATGCGATACCTTCATAAGTCACACACGCGCGCTACGTAGGTCGGTTAAAAAGCACCATTATTTACACGTCGGGACGTGGACCCTCGCGGAACGGTCGGTTCTTGCGCTGTCCGTGCAAAATATAATGTAATCTGCCTGTAAGTAAGTCGAATGTTTCGCCTCGTGAGATCGGGGTCCGGCCGGGGCCCCTGCGCACGTTGTACCGTTTTTTTAATATAAAAGCCGGCTCAATTATCGTCCTGCGACCCGTCGGTGTCAGAGGCGAGAGCGACGATTCGCGGCGCATATATCGATGCACTTTATGCCCCTGTGTGGTCCGGTTGTCAATGCATCGCGAAATTTAAGATAAGAGGCCCCACGGGCTTAAATCCGAGCGGGGGGAACCCCGCCCGCCGCCATTACCGGAATCGGGGCCAAGCGGAGAGTTAAGTCCCCATATCTTAAAATGTACCGGTGCGCAACTGGGTCTAATTTATGACGTCTTTACGCGCTCTGCTGGTCGGTCCTCCTCAGATTTTCTCACACGCGTAATCCCGATCGGTCGGTCTCCCAACGAGGACGAAACGAAAGTTGCGACAAGAATAATCGAGAAGATTTACGGATACGAACGGATGTTTACAAATCCTTTTTATTTATTTATTTTTTTTTTTTTTTAACAAGAAGAGGTTTAGAACCGCTACACGTAAATTAAATGTCTCGTTTAAATATTAATCGAATAAGATTTATATGTCACTTGGAATATTTTAAATTATGTCATTCAATCGTTCATTCATTATGTCACTCTTATTAACGTGAAAATTATTTGAGATTTATATAATAATTATTCTGTTACAAAACTTCGATTTGATATTCAATATAAAGAATGCAATGTTTTTACCTGTATGTTAAAATTTATACTGAAACACGTAACTATCTTACGTGAAATAAATGAGATATCTCTTTTGCCTCATTCTCTAATTTGACATCATATTATTAATATTTTAAAATACGAGACACTATTATACGCGGCATGCAATCAAATTAATTAAACGCGAATGCTGCGTGCACGCTTATTTCTTGGACGGGTATTTACTTTCTCCTTATCCAGGATGTCTGGCAATTCTTGTTAAACTATTGTTATTACATGATGGTGGCCGGAGACTGACGGAGGATTCGAGCCTCACGGAATTAATTAAAGTAGTAACAAGCAGGATCTAAGGAGAAAAAAAAACAGAGAGAGAGAGAGAGAGAGAGAGAGAGAGAGAGAGAGAGAGAGAGAGAGACGTACGTACGTACGTTACG